CTCTGGCTATACCGAGGAAGCACCAGCAGCATGAAATGGAGAATTGCTGTCTTCAAAGTATTTCTTTCAGCTTTATAGAGCCCAGAAAAATCAATGCATAAGGTTACATACAAACAGAATCTTTGAGCAATGGAACTGCCCCGAAAATTCACTTGCTGCTTTCCAATCAAAAGACCTATTTTCTGCCTAGGGTCAAGCTCAGTACTGATCAGCCTACATCTTAGAAGTCACAACTCACCTTCCCCATCGCTGGCCTACTTCCGCACAGGTACATAAAATAGCACCCCCACAGTGGCAGCACTAGTAGGGACAAGCAGGAAGGAACAGTGCCACATACACACTGTCCCTGCAACACTCAGTGCTGGTGCTGCATTCCACCCCCTTTCCATTTGCTGCATAGTGCAGAAGTGCTGATACAAGAACCTTGCCACACACACCCCATGGCCCAGCCACTCCCCTGCAGCCACACCCTGCCCCCTTTTCTCCTTTACAGCTGAGCCCTGGTATAATGCTATACCATTACAGGGATGAAAGGGACAGAAAGAAAAGCAGCGCTTAGCTCCACCCTCTTCCCTGCATTGGCATCCACATAGACCCTCGACCTGCAGCTACTCTGCGGTTTCCTCTTTCAACTGGAGCAAAGGGGGCATTTCTCTTTTTGCTCTGGTGCAAAAAGGGAAAGTCCGGGGAGCCCCATGAGTTGGGCTCACGGTAAGTGCAACGTTGTATGGAAGCACCTAACAATAGCGGGGTATCCAGCTATCCATACGAGGCAAACTTATTTTGCAACTTCTTTTGCTTCTAAAAAAAAAGAAGAGAAAAATGATTATTTAATTGAATGCTGTAAGAAAAAAGTAAATTGTCTGCTGGACACATGGGAGAAGAGACAAGACCAGTGTTCCCTCTAAGCTGAGTTAGTGTTAGCTAGCTCACAGTTTTTTAGTCTCCGGCAATGTTCCCTCTAAGCCATGGAGTCTTGTGAGCAAAAAGTCTACTTGGTGAGCTACCAGCATTAAAGTTGTGAGCGAGCGATTTGGCTACTGCATGAATTCACTTACTCCGGAGCCGTCCTCCCTGAGCTAAGACAAAAATGTGTGAGCCGGAGGCTAAAATACTGTGAGCTAGCTCACACTAACTCGGCTTAGAGGGAACACTGGTCTTCGGCTCACAGATTTTTGTCTTAGCTCAGGAAGGATGGCTCCAGAGCACACTGATTTATGCAGTAGCCAAATCGCTCGCTCACAGCTTTAATGCCAGTAGCTCACAGAGTAGAATTTTTGCTCACAAGACTCCACAGCTTAGAGGGAACACTGGACAAGACTGACAACAATTACGTTCAAATTGCTAGTATGCACGTTTGCCAATTTGCCGAAACGCAGGAGGAAGCTTGGGTGAGGTCATGAGAGAGAGAAAAAAAACCCATACAGTGACTTATTTTATTGTTTCATGTTTATGGTGGCTCAGTTTTCCTCATACATGAAATAACTCAATGAAGAGAGGCGAACCCAAAGATTTTAACTGTAGCTTCCACTTACCATCACAGGCCTTTCTTGTCGCACCCGGAGAAGAAATCTAGAAGGCAGAGGTGTGCACATGGCATCTGCATCAATCCTGGACTTGAAAAGTCTTGTAGCACGTTAAAGATTAAGTATATAATATGGCATAAAATGGTGCCACAGGCTGCAGCCTAAGAAAGCTCAAAATACTCCCCCCCCCCAAGGGTAGGAAACTAGTGAAGCATGCACATTAAATTTCTCCCCCCATAAAGATAGCTTAATGAGATGCTCCTCTTTTTCATGTAGGTTTCTTGGAGGGTCGTTCTTCAATGGCAGTATTTCAGAGCCATATTAGCTGTGTGATGATGCCAAACATTCCCTGTAAAACCGCAGACAAAATCTGAGCAGGCTGACTCAGCTTTGGCAGAAAAGAGAAGATAAGAGACCGCAGATGCTATGCAAGACCGTTTCAAGGCAACTATTTGGGCTGCGCAGCTTCATTACCCCCAACTCGGAAGTGCTAGAATAATATTTTTCTGTCTCCCTCTTTTTATCTATTAATACTTGTAGATAAGTACTCAATGGTAGCTGGGACTCAGGGGAAGTGGAGGGTAATATATATAAAGTCTATAATGCACAATACATTAATATACGTAATGAACAACTTATATGCGAACTGTAATATAATACAAGAGCTAGTGTGGAGTAGTGTTGTAGAGCAATTAGTGTGTCATACTATGATTGGAAAGACCCAGGTTCAAATCCTCATTTTGCCATAAAGCTCACTGAGTGCCTTTGCCCCACTCACCATTTTTCATCATAACTCTACCTCACAGGGTTGTTGTGAGGATAAGCTGGAAGAAGAAGGAAGCGTGAATATTGCCCTGAGCTCATTGGGGGAAGGGCAGGATACAAATTTGATTGCTTGAGTGATAGAAGTAGAGGGCCACTCTCATAACATGAGGGGATAACTTCCACCTATTGACTTTGTATTTACAGAACAAGAATTGTATTGTGGATCCTTATACTGCGAAGCTTTACAGGGTGGTTAACGGACGGAAATGAAGAAGGCATAGAACATGCAATACATTGTCCTTTGTAAACCAAGGCAAGCCTTTAGTAAGGACATACTGCACAAAGCTTGCAAACTGAGAACAAGAACCATTCTTAAGAGTGGGACTATCTAGGGGAGGACTGCTTGATTTTCAACATCACAAGGACTCTGGTAGAACTTAAAGGCTATTGCAGATTTTTTTTTTTTAAGGGGGGCAGGTTCCCTATTAGGAAGAGCGCAGTAAATCCCAGGGTATCCATGAATAAAAAGGCAGATTGTTTGCCATCCTTTTAAGGCCAGTGTCAAAGGTCAAAGGATTGAAGGTCAAAGAAGACGGGGACGGCAAAGGATGAGATGGTTGGACAGTGTCATCGACGCAACAAACATGAAATTGAGCCAACTTCAGAGGACAGTGGAAGACAGGAGGGCCTGGCGGGAGCTGGTCCATGGGGTCGCGAAGAGTCGGACTCGACTGTGCGACTGAACAACAACAACAACAACATGGGGAAAGTGGAAAAATCCACGCTAGTGAATTTTTTTGGTATGTAACAAGATGGCAACCGTAACTTGGACATAAGTGTATGTAATATACATATGGTGCTGATGCAGAGGAAAAAGGAGAAAATGCCAGGTGATGATTGATTATTGTACAAAGTCCCTACACATTTTGCCATGAAGGCTTAGTATGGGGGAATCGGAGCGTTCACCTAGTGCTGAAACTGTCCACACCATTTCCCCCTTTTTGTTCTGTTGGCACACTGCTGGGTGCAGCCCCTTTTTCCTTTATCCTTGGTCAATGCAGAGGAGAAATGGCAGATTTACACACAAAAAGTGGCCTGTGTTAAATCTAGCAAATTCACCTTCCCAGAGGCACTTTATCCTTCATTATTACTTCAGAGGTTTCATGCTGATTCTCCTAGCACTCAGAAGATTATTATTCTTGGCTGAAGTTAAATCCAGTCAGTGTGTGAGCCCCTCGCCAAATCATGATCTCATGAAGAGGAATGCACTTCATGCATGATCAGAGAGATCCTTACTTTTGAAATTACTTCAAATGGTGCAGAGCAGATCTGTGGCTACAATCTTTGCGTCAGATTACTGTTAAAGAATGCAGCCTCTACAGAGGGAGAAGATAGTGAAGAGGGGTAATCCTGCACATGTTCAGAGGCATTATCTCCTTTTTAGTTACTTCATGGAGGGCAGAACCCTGGCTTTCAAAAAGAGATTCTGGGAGTATAATCCTTGGTTCAGTTTAAACCCACAGCCCTCCTACAGTTGTTGGAAGGAAAACTGGTGGAGAGGGATCTACTCTGAACATGAGCAGAGGCTTCATCTCATTTAAAAACGTTACTTTGCAGGTTGCAGGGCTGGTCCTCAGACTGCCATGAAGCTTGCTGGGTGCCCTTGGGTTAGACACATGCCCTCTCAGTCTCGCCGACCTCAAAGGGCTGTTGTGGGAATATAATGCAGAAAGGGGAACCATGCATGCTGCCCTGAGCTCTTTGGCAGAATGGTGGGGGAAAGGAATACACAGGACAGGAGCATTAACCACCAGCTTGCAAAAGGAGGAGGGGTGGTGAAAATGAAAACCGGATAGCCAAGAGAAAGGAGACCATCAAGTGAAATGCACGCAGCACATGCTCAAAGCTAAATAAAGGTTCCCCTGCTCGAAAGCCAGTCGAATCGGACTCTAGGGTTGCGGTGCTCATCTCCGTTTCAAAGCCGAAGAGCCAGCGCTGTCCGAAGACGTTTCCGTGGTCATGTGGCCGACATGACTAAACACCAAGGCGCACAGAACGCTGTTACCTTCCCACTGAAGTGGCACCTATTTATCTACTTGCAATTTCTTGCTTTCGAACTGCTAGGTTGGCAGGAGCTGGAACTAGAGACAGGAGCTCACTCCTAATGCAGCACTCGAGTCTCGAACTGCTGAACTACCGGACCTTCCACAGCCTGCAGTTCAGCGTCTTAACCACTTGAGCCACCGCAGCTCTCACATGCTCAAAGGTACCTTGCATTAAAAAAAAAAAAACAAAGAAAATCTACGTGTTGCAGGGCAGATCCCTGGCTTTCAAAACACAAGTTAGGGGTGCATAATCTTTGGTTCAATGTAGAGTTCCTCTACAGACGTAGAAAGTAATGTACTCTGCACATACTCAGAGGGAAACGTAGCCTTTCCCCCCAAATACTTCACACGTGGCGGGTCAGAGAACTACGGCTTTAAAAAAACAAAAAACGAACAAGCAACCCAGCTCTCCAGCTCAGGCAACGTATCTTCCTTCCAGATGCCTGCCGCGTCCTCCTGCGGTGGCTGCCAAGAAGCGCCCGAAGGTTCCATAGAGAGGCTCGAGAAAGAACCGCGTTGAGGCCCCGGGGAGGGGAGGGGAGGGCGGGACGGGCAGCAACCGGCGGCGCCCACTCCCGCTTTGCCTCTCGGGCCTCGGTTGGGAATGTCCCAGCAGGACATCGCCGCCGCCGCCTCCTTTTCCGCGCCGCAGGATCCAGGCGGGCCTTTCTCCGAGGATCAGTTTCTGGCCGTTTGCCACGAAGTGGGCACGGCGAGGGCGAGGGCGAGGCCCGAAAGCTCCTGGCAGCTGCTGGCCGATTCCCGCGGCTTCAGCATCTACCGCGTCTTCGACCAGGTTGTGGGGGG